TGACAATGAGTTAGTCCGCTCACAATCTCGTTGCAGCATTATTAAACTATGAGGACATCAGTAACACACTGGCGAATGCGTGTACGGCCCAAAATCCCCCCGATAGCCCCGCCCAATACCGTTGTTCTGACAAGGAAGTTCGCTCCCTTTTTAATCGTGGCAGACCTACTACAACAGGCAGCTGTTTATCAGGCCAACCTCAGCATGTCTTCAACCTCACAGGAGTGCCCGACAACACACCGTGTACAATCTCCACCCGTACACAAGGAAGGGCGCAAGACACTGTATGGTTAGCTTGATATAGTTTTCAGGTGATTTAATGAAGGTGAAACACAGTGAATGGCCGTGCCTAATGGCACTGCGCTCTGACGCGGGACTTCTCCGGCACTCAATAAATTACATAATTTATTGAGTAAATTATGTAATCCTTTTCAAATGAAGAGTCACAGGACAAGGTATATAATGTAATAAGGAAGACGTAATCCCACTGATTGACTCTCTGGAAACAGAAGATTTTGGGCTTTGGTCGGTGAAGCAACCGGCCTCGCAAAGTAATGGTGCTGTCAGGAAAAAAAAGAAGATTGAGTTTTGCTGGATTTCTGAGCAAAGATAAGAGCAGCCTTGGTCAAGAAGAATAATAGTTCTTGCCACATTGTGGAGACTGTTTCCCTTCATACAATATGGAACAGTGATGCTGGAATAATCTGGATATCTGAGCATCAGATATTTCCACACTACATTGATTTAGTGTGATGAGGATGAAGATGGAACCACCTGCTCCACCACAGATGCAACAGGCAGCGGCCACATTTCATTCCTCTTCTCAGTTTAGCATGCAAAGCTGCCAAATATGCTGAAACTTTGCCCCGGGTTGATCTATATAATGGAATATGTTGAGGCCCAGCAGATGACCTGTGGATATTAAACATGTCCGCTCCATCAAAATGCATGAGTGGTACACCGGGCCTGACTGCTCGCTCTAATCCCAGATTATCTCTGCCTGTCCAATCCAGAAAACAGGGGGGAAAAATTGGCAAGAAAGGAGATTATTTGCCAGTGTTGGAGGGGTGGGGGAATGTGGAGCAACGCAGAGGCTAGAGCGCACACCTACTTGCTCGTGAACGTCGCTCACACGAACAGAAAGGGATCTCCACATCTGCCACTTCAAATGTGCTGTGCATGTTTCACGTTTAGATCCAAACTTTCATCACTTGCTCTCTAATGGACGTTTCAGGAGAGGCGAGTGATCACAGCTGCGATGCAAGCCCAGCCAATCGACACCCCGCCCCCATCACTTCACCCTCCCCCTACCTCACCAGCCACTCCTCCCCTCCTCCGCTATCAACACGTCGGCAACAATTGATAAACATCTTCCATCACTGCCCACTGACACACAACGTCAATAATCACAACACCCTGCGCTGCCTGATGTATATATGTGCACCTCTGCTGTACAGTTTATATCATATTCACTGTATACTGCCTCAAGCAGCATGATTTCATGCATCTCAATGTCATCGCTTGTAAAAACCAAAATGAGTCCAAGCTATCATTTCTCAGTTACCTCCATTTTTATTCTGGTGCCTCAAAGGGTGATGGATAATCACATGGCATTGTGAGAGGTTTACTAATCTCACAGCATCACAGGGCGAGACCACTCAATATATTTCAAAATGATTTTGTATCACTAGTGCAGTGGCCATTATAAATGTGCCTATTTAAAATGGGTTGTTTTCTTGGCCTGTGGTGATGCTACTTACATCCACACTGCTAAGTTTTCATTTGAAAATGCAACAACTCTAGCGCAGATACACATCTGGCATCCACACTGCTCTGGAGTTTGAGAGCCACTAAAACGGAGAAGTTTGAAAACGCAGCTGGCCCCCTGTTTTGGTTTGAGAAATTTTGGGGCAGCATTTTAGTCGGAGATGTTTGGAAATGATGACATAGACGTTCACAACAGCTGCTGATTGGGCCTTTTCGGTCTTGATGTAGCCTTTGTTAATCCGTTAGGGTCCTATCACATGACCCCCTTCTGGATGAAATCAACCGGCATTAGCCTCAGCTACCAGTGTAGAACGCAACTTTGCTTAAAACTGTTGTGCAGTTGATTTCTGCATTTGACAATGATACAACTGCTCATATGTGTTGAAGACGAGCTGTAATTCGAACAATCTGCGAAAATTCTCATATCGAATGAGATGTATGCACTTCCTTTTGGTCATTAACAATGCATATGGCAAGTGTGAAGCCAATAAGACAAATTGTTCTAAAGATATGCTTTCCTTGTACAGACACAGTTATGGAATTACTGGACCGATATAAGACATAATATTAGATACACATTTCATTTAAGTATAGAGATTTGCTTATGCAAAATCAATCTTTCATGGGCCTGAGTGCGATCAGATTCGAGTCTGATCTGTGTTAATTAAATGTGTATCTGACAAAAGGTACTTGATCCAAATGAGAAGCCACCGTCTGGATGTTTTGTGCACCGCTTTGCTGACAGATTTGTCACAGCTTTGCAGATCCAGGTGTCAAAACAGAGACAGCTGCATCACACTAACTTTCACTCTTAAAGATTTTTAAACCTTTACGAAAAATGCAGCTGTCAAACAAGGTTCACACTTTTAGATGTTCCCCTGACGACGGCTGCAATTTTAAAGTGAACATTTCAGTCTTCCATGGAAACACCCTTAGAGAGAAAGTGAAAAAACAACTTAAAATAGCTCTGCTTTTTTTCATTTTGCACCTCAGCATAACCTGATTGACAGTGTGTGACAGAGCATGAGATACTGCATCATTTCCATTTCATCATCCTGTAACACTTGCTGAGCTCAGATATGAATTCAACATCCATCCATTAACCTCCACTCCTCTATCCTCTGAGCCTATTTGTGCCTTTCAAGCTTTCTATACATCTTTTGAAATTTTGAGTCATGTCCCCGTGTCCCCTGGCTTTTTACCTTTTACAGCACGTCAACTTTAGAGGCATGATCACATATTGAATATCCTTTCACTGGTCTATGCCTGAATGTGTTATTAATGTGGCATTTTTAAGGTCATATTTCTATTGCTCCAAAAAACAGTATTAGCAATTAACAATTCATGCTGCAGTTTATTCTGCATGCACGGCCCGTCTGCATCCGAGTCCACGTCCTTAGCTGCAGGCAGTCAGGGATTACACAGCAGCCTAGCAGCAGATGTGGCATCTGGGATTACAATTAGAGTAATATCATCCATCATGTGAAAGCTTGTTATGTTACCATAACAGGAGCGCATTTGGTCCCCCCCCCCAGTGCCACATGTGGGGTATTGTTGTTAATGGAAATGAAATTAGATGTGGTGCACTGTGTAGGACCATGAAGTCAGGGTTCACACGCCTCACACCTGCAGGTGAGATCTGGGACTTGGGTCATGAAATCAGTGTTTCCAATTAATTATCTAGAGTTTTGCATTCCACCAGATTCTAATTTGTCCTTTCAGTTTCAAAATGAACCTCTTTTCTTAATACATTTTTTTTCCACACCTCTCAGAACATCATGAGAGATCTCTAATTTTGGTGATTTACTGTGTTGCTGCATTGTATAGCTTGTTTCAGCTGCAGTTGTGCGTATAGACAAAATGTATTAAATTACCATGAATTTAAGCCTTTTCATCCTCATCATTTATTGTCATAACTAAAATCTTCAAATATACCAGTTGAGATAGTTATAGTGCCATGAAATTCTGCATTTTTGCAGTTGATTTTAACTGATTGGGAGCAAAAAATCAAGAAGCTCAAGGGTCGTTGGATGTGCTTGGTCATAGCTGGCAGCAAGCTCGTTTATACACCTGAGACGGTGCAGAATTATCCAGGCATGTTGTGTCCTGCACAACCTACGACTCATGGCATCCCCTTACCAACCAGAGCAGAACCACAACAAGACAAGCACAAAGACATACAGCCTAATGTGGGGCTTCCTGACTGCAGTGCTGGCTCACCACGCCTTAATGCAGTATCTTTAATGATGGTCAGTTAAAATGCCTTATTTCAGAATGTATACTGAATAAAGTTTTGAATTAATTCAGCTTTCCTCATGGGTTTATCCTAATGTTTCTGAAGCAAATAACACACATGCACACATATTCAGTCATGCACTTATTTATTTGTGAGGAAATCCATCAACTGTTTCATTAATGTTTTCTATACCTGGCGCAATTTCCTTCACTGTATCCAGGAGAGCCAGCTGATTTTGTGGATCCTCCAGACTCTGGGAAAGGGGACTGCGAAGTGGACTATTTGGCTGGTGCTGGAAACTGGGAGTGACAGGTCGTCTGCTGGTCATCCTCCACTCCTGCATCATTTGAGCCAATAAATTATATTGTTTAGCTCAATGAATTACCTGTTGCAAGCAGCAATGCTATTTTCATTTGAATAAAAATTTGTTCTAATTGAATTCCATTTGTTAACAACAAAAGACAAGAAATTGCAAATATCTTAACAATTATGAAATATAATTACCTCTAGGACACTGTTCTTAGTGGACATCATCACAGTCTCCCTCATTCCTGAACAAACTTCCACTTAATGATGACCATCCAATGATAACTGCAGCCTCTCATCCCGTCAGATCTGCTGTTCCTTGTCCTTCTCCTGTTTCATTATTTTTTTCTGGTCTGTGATTCAATTTTTGGCATCAACTTTGATGTCAAACCATTTTTTTGTACTTGTTCCACTGTCCATACCTCAGGGTACATTCACTGCCTCAGTTATTGGACTCTGGTGCAGAAGTTACATGGCTGTTAAATTGTAAAGATTTATTCCAGCTGAGAGCTTGAAGACACACTGGACTAATGTAGCCCAGCGTGCGAAATAACCACTGGCAATCAGGCGGCCCCCCCCCCCCACCTAGTGCTCAAGCATTATGCTGAAGTACACCCCCAAGATTGTAATCTCTGTAAAAAAAAAATATATATATATATATACACACTATAACTAGTTTTCAAAACAAGCTTTAAAAAAAATAAAAAATATTGAGGGAGAAACTCAAAAAAGGTGAAGAGAAAAGTCAGAAACAACCTGACATATTCATCAAATGAAGAAGACACTGAAAAGTCGATCACTGCAGTAGATCCACAGGTGGCTGCACAGCAGTGACATTGAATTCTACAATAGACCTAACTGCATTCAGTAGCTCTGTGTAATTGAGGTTCTCGAGTACATATTCAGTTGCATTCATTGAGAGAAGGTCTCTCTGCATTAAGGACACCACAGCATTTTCAAACGCATCAATGGAATTTCCTCAGAAGATGAACAGACCATGTGTCTAAGTGAGGGATGATTTCTATGGATGTGAGTGGAAACTAGAGGAATTATGGCAAGCGTGTCTGAGGAATGAAGCTAATTAAAGGATGTAATCTGGGGTGCAGCCTGGATTCTATTCAGTCTGTCAGGACAAAGTACAACAAGAAGGCCGCTAAATAATGTTTCCCAATTAGCTGCAATGTGCTCATGTGATTTTGTGAAACCCTGAGGACTCGTAGGTTTTCCTTGATGAACTGCAGAGTGCTTCTGTCTACTCTACAATCTGTGTACACGTACCAATGTGTGGTTTAATTTACTGTTTGATTCTCCATCACCTCTGCCAAGGAGGTTATGTTTTCACCCCTGTCCATTTGTATGTAAGCAAGATTACACAAAAATAACTGAATGGATCACCACAAACCTCTGTGGAAGAATGTGGTATGGTTTAGTAAAGAATACAAAAAACGTTGGTGCAGATCTGGATCAGGAAGCAGATGCAGGAATTTTTGGGATCATTCATGGATCTTGATCAGGTAATACACAAAAAAAAAAAATCAGGCATGTTTAAGGGACTGATATCAATGAGTGTCAAGGCTAACACCCTATCTCACCATTTTTTAAATCCTGGTCTCATGCCTCCACAAAACTGAATGGAAATCAATAAAGAAGCTTTTGTGCAATCCTGCTCACCAACAAACAAACTGGTGAAAGCACATTTAAATTCACAAAAACAAGATTTTTATTTATCAGTCCCCTGAACATGTCTGATTTTTTTTTTTTTTTTTAAGATCCATTAATTATTCTGTGAAATTGACAATAATGTTGAAAAACGCTTTATTTCACAAGAAAAGAGAAAAGAAATCCTGGATCTGCAACTAAATTATTGGGTTCTTCTGATCCATATCGCATCCGTCCATAAAGTTTCATGGTAATCCATTCAGTAGTTTTTTTATAATCCTGCTAAATACCAAACAGACTGAGATGAAAACATAATGTTCTCAGCAGAGTTAATTATACTTTAACACATCGGAGCTCTTCACACCTCATGTGAGGTATGTATGAAGCAGCAATGAGCGAAGGGTTTGTTGTTTATTCACAAACAACTCACAATAGAAGACTTTAGATAATGAAAGATACTAACATACTGGGAGATACATATGTTAACAGATCATTCAATTAGTACTTAAGTATGTGTCAAAGGAAGTAAGAACTACTTTCTCAAAGAGACACTCCGGATTAAATCCGCTGCTCATTCTGAACCAACTACTCACATTTTGTAAACTTTAGTGCTGATGGCTACATGTAGATCATGTTTTTTGCTCTGCCCCTTGCTCCACCTTCAGAACACAAGGCCATTGTTAACCGCCTGTGCAGACCATCCGTCTTGCCTGTATACCTCTCCTTAAATACCTTTCTGATCTCTCCTAGGTTTTGTACTGTGGAATCTATTATTCAGGAAATGTGAAAGTTGGTGATGCATAAATAATGCAGCACTTCACAATGACACTTCCCATCAGTGTTAAAGATGGAAACTAAGGGCTTTTTTCATGTCTGACATTTAATGTATCTAGATAATGTGATTTACCAGATAATGTGCACACTTTGTGCTTAGTACCAGGAAGGAGAATTAAGAAAATAAACCATTTCTTAGGAAACACATGGCAGGATACCAGGTTAAAAGAAAATACTTCAGTTATAAGCGTAAACCAAATATAGCATACTGATATTGGTCATTTACGTTCTCCCACAAGTATGCTGTTGTCAGAATCGGGCACTGATTCAAAACTCACTTAGCCTATAATGCATTCTCTGAACAAGAGATAAAATGTGCTGTAGGCTCATCAAGTGGTTTGCTGTGACATTTGAAAATTGAAAGCGCACGACAGCGCACGACAGACCTCTGAGTGGTGCTGAAGAAATAAGTCACGATCTCAATATTCCTTCTTGCAGTCCAACCTGCAGGGAAAATGTATTTGAATCTACAGTGCACACTCATTTTAAGAAATGATTCAGACTTTAACAAATGATAGTTTAAAAACTTGACCAAAATATAAAGTCTAGTGGAAATATATGGATATGGTGCTGATAACCACTCACACTTGACAGTTTTGGTTCTTTTATGACAAAGTTCCACAGCAGCTGTTATGTTAAGACAAAGGTGAGGAAATGCAGACTCCACAAGAAAAAAAAAAAAAGTCTTTAACCAAACTTTTCAGCTTTGGTACACAGGTGGTCAGTCAGAATATAGCGAAAAGTTTGGTCTTACACTTACTGAAAAACAGGAATCGCAGGCCCGCTGAGAGAGGAACTGACGAGACGAGCGAGCAACGAGGGGGACACGTGATTAAATACAGGTGAAACTAACAAGGGGCGGGGCATGTCATCAACAGAGGAGGGAAACCACATAAAGATAGGAAGTAAAGTGAGGGAGACACACAAGGAAAAAAGCTTTAAAGTCAAACAGGAAATATTGAATTTATGACGCAAACAACGAAAAGTCCTTAAGTCACAGGGGGTAAAAAAAGACAGGATATTGTGATTTGAAATTCAGCTTAGCATTACCGCAATTATAAAATGTACAATCATGGTTACCACTTTAGTCTATGGTGTTTCTAGCTTAAACTTTATGCCTGTATCACCTCAGTACACTGCCCACACTGTATGTGTATCATTAAAACCACAGAATAGAAATTCATCGGGATTCTGGCATTTCCCTCAGAGACAGGACTGAGTTACACAACATTCTAGACAGACCTCCACCTCACAGAGAAGGGTCTTTATTTACGTCTGCTAAGGAAGTTCTGTTTTCATCTGCATTTGTTTGTTTGTTAGCTGGATTATGTAAAACAACTGAATGGATGACCTTAGAATTCATTCATCTGTTTAGGGGACTAATATTCGTGTGTAATTTGGTTCAGATCCAAATAAAAATCCAGATCTAATGAATGTTGTATTTGTTTGTTTGTTAGTAAGCAGGGTTACACAAAAATGACTGAACCCATTTTGTAGAGGGATTGGGACCCAAGGACCAATCCACCTAATTTAGAGAGACTGCAAGACAGGGCGGTTTTCTTGACATTTTCATTGATTTCCCAGAGAAAAATTCATGGATCTAGAGGAAGGCACATTTAGGGGACTGATATCTATGAGTGTGTGAAATGTGGTGCAGTTTGGTTGGATTTAAGGAAACTATTGGGCCTTGGGTGGTAGCATGCACTCTACTGAATGCTGTTCTAGTGTCATTGTATTATTTCCACGCATTCACATTCACATCTCTTTCTTTCCTATATAATCAATTCAGGAAAGATAGATGTATTATTATGTCACTCTGAGATTCTGCAATTTAACCTTCAGCTGTGTCTTTTTCCTGTGCACAGTTTTTCTCTGTGAAACACAACAACACACCAGGACTGTCGGCCATGTTGTTTGTTTGCTGCTCTTCTTTTACCTCATGTCACATTTGTTACAATTGTCTCTTTTTTTGTTTTTTCTGGGTCTGGAACAATCCACTGTCCAATTGTTCAGAGAGCTCTCTAATCCAGCCTTAGATCTGAGTTGTGCAGTGCGGCCTAATAGGATCTTAGTATTAACCCTGATGACAATACCACCAGCTGTCGCAGAGCCCCCTGTTGGCCACCAGGAGGAATGTGTGGGGGAGGCAGGGGAGGCAAAGAGGGAGGTGACTGACAGAGAGACATTGACAGAGTGACTGATTGATGCTTCTAGTCTCGTGGAATAACCAAAGAAGCAGGACAGAGGAGGAACCCAGAAACTCCTGAAGTGCTTTATATTCGGACGACTACCTCTTTGATTTGACTTTTCATCTCCTCCATTAACCAAATCCCAACTTTTTATATCTTCACTCCTTTTCTTTCTTGGTTGTTACTTCTCTCACATCACTTCTCTACATCTATCTATCCTGCTTCACCTGCTGCATCCACAGTCCTGCCATTTCCTCCTGTGCGGCAGCTGTTGGCTCTGTGGCTGACTCTATATGGCTGAATAGGTGGTAAAAGGGTTGGTCTTCTCTGTGGGGGGTTT